CAAGTGGTTTTAAATGTTTTTAATTTTTCTAGCTTCACAGGGATTAGAGATGACCTCACCCTTTTATTGGACGAAAACATGACAGCTGTTAATATTTGTGCATTACACTGTGAACTACGAAATATGGAACAGCTTCTTGCTTCCCTTGGTTTATTCTGTCACAAGATTGGTTCATTAGCTGAGTRCAATGCTGCCCTTAAAGAATATGGTCCTCAAACCATGAAAAAAGACAGGATTCGTATCAGTACAAAACCAGGACAGGAAACAATGGTTGAGAAGCACAATGTCAAAGTTGCATCATTTTCAGGTTTTTACAACTAAATATAATCATTAAATATGGCTTAAGTTCTTATCGGAAGCCTTACTTACTAGTAAAAATTAGAAAAGAAACCTGCATGCCTCTTCTAAAAGTTTTTGCCAAAGTGTGTTGTTGAGCTTTTGCTATGTGGTTATTTTTGACAGCTGTTGTACTCAAGACATATGATAGATATTGGCCTCTATAACTACCAAATACACTGAATCCCATTCACCAGTCTGATTATACACTAAGTAACAARATTGTTGCTCTTCCTATAACAAAGTCATTCACTTATTCATTAAAAAAGAAACTGTCAGTAATCACTACAATGGCATTCTTTTATTTTTTTTAAATAGGGCCTACCGAGAGAAAATTTCTTCAAAATTCGACTGTCATTGTTGAAAGATCATTGCCCCTGCCAAAGCTGAAAGAACATTTCAGAGATGTTGAAGCTGCCAAGTTGTTTGTACTGAACAAGATAACATTCTATCAAGAGCGTGTCTTGGTATTTGATTTGGATTTGATGTTACTTTTTTATTTTCATTTATTCATCTACCATTCATATGGTTTTTCTAATTTTTTCTGGTCCATCTTTTAGTATTTTCAAGCTTTGAAAGACAATGAAAAGTTTGTACGGGACTTTGGCACTCATCAAGAGGAGATCAATATCAAAGATCAAGGTATATGTAATTGCCAAAAATATATTAACTGAAACTCATGTAGCTGTTAGCAAACCAATTCTTACTATTGCACTTTTTTATTTTATTTGCAAGCTGTTGGCAAGAGAATTGATGAGCTGCTAAAGTCATGGAAAGAGAAGGTTGATGATGTGTCCAACAAATTCACTGAGGCATTGAAGCACAACACAAGTTCTAGAAAGAAGCCCAAGAAAAAGAAAAGATTGCAGGCTTATGAAGAAAATGATGTTTTAGGAACTCTTGCTGCTGATCTTGCTCTTGAATGTTATATAAAGGTAACATATAGTACATACATATGATAATGCAGTAGCCCATACTTAGCTAAGTTATTTTAGGCTTTGTACATGTATGTTGCACAAAAATGTTTCAGTACAATTTGCAAGCAGGGAGGTATGATTTCCTTTAACCCGGGATTATCAAATTATAAAGACTATGAGGATGCAAGCCTTGAAATGATCTTATACTGTAAGGTCATGTGTGTCAATKAAGGTTAACTAAAAATAAACCAAGATAGAATGGTTGTGCTCACTGAAATCCACTTACTTTTTATCAAAAGCTTAGATAATTGCTTTTCAAAACAAGCTGTTGTACTCTTACTCTGCCTGTGGGGTGTTGTATTTGAAATTTCTTCCAAAGTCTTATTATTTGTTTGTTATGTTTAAATAAATTGTATATAAATGTGTATTATTTTTTAGGTCTTTTCTGGTTGGAATGATATTGCCTTAGTAATGAGAAAGAAATTGTTCAAGAAAGATGAGGAGCATTTAATTGATTTATTCGACATTCAGGTATTCTGCACACTGCAAGTTTGATGTTACAAAATGGGCATACTAAATARATATATTCTGTTATATTATTTTGTTCATCACAGTGTAAAGAATGGGGCTTTCTCCTACGGGAGGTCTTTGGTTTGAAGCTTGGGACAGGAGATTATGGGCACATGGCCATTGAGCATGCCTCAATGCTCCTGAGAAACCATCGATCTATTGGTGCCATGTCAACTCAGGGCTTTGAATCAAGCCACAAAGTACACAGGCAACTCTATTTGAGAGCAACATCCCATGATGTTTCAGAAGGCATATCATCAAGTAAGGGGACAAATAAAAAACTAAGAGCAGCCATCAAAGATATAATAAAAGTTATGAA